CACCATCCTCCCCCGATTTCGCAGCAACCTCAAAGTAATAATTTGTAGATGTGGCACCGGTATAAGCATTGGAACTTCCAGAATGTGAAGAAAGGTATTGTGAATAAGCATTTTCAACAGGGTACTACTCAAATTGTTAGTATTATGATCAATTCATGTGGAAGATCCGCGAAAGTGCGCCACCTCTCCAGGAAAAGGGTATACAATACCTTTTTAGTTCCCATGAAAAGTAGATGCTAGAAAGAAGTACATGTCAGCATAATTTTTCTCGGCATTGATATAGTCATATTTACCTCTACAGCATGCGCCATACCAGGGAAATCATCAGGATCACTGAAATTCCCCACATTGACGTCCATGGCTGCTGATGCTTTATCTGTTTCAGCGTCATGAACGAGTAAAACCTCTAGCTGATTGGGAAGCTTAATAACTCGATAAGAACGATCATCTAAGCTGGGGGTTTCAAGGCGATCGGTGAGTCTCTCAACAAGTCTATGATGTACTCTCTGCTCTCTCAAGGGACTGTTGGGGGCGATTGGGCTCTTTGGTTGTGTTAAATTAGACATAGTTGTTGTAAGGGTCGAAGAGGACCTTGCAAAGAATAACGGAAATTTCAAGGATTGTAAAGAAGGAGAATTGGTATTTCGAAGTCTCAACTTCTGCTGATGACTTGCAAGGGATGGATGAGAATACTGGTGTTGTTTAACCCCGCCAAGGTTGATCTTGGATTTCGAACCAGTGAATAATGAATATGGGTCTGAGGTCTGTGCGAAGGTTGATAGGAAGACAGGTTTCTGTGCTTGACCGTCTATCAAGGTTTTGAAGTGAAAGGAGTGGCGGTATCGATTATGAGTTGATGATGTTGGTTGTGGTCGCAGATACTTTATAGAGAATAGGATCGTTGGTCTCGGTGACAATGGAGGAAGAAGGATTTGTTGTCTGTGTAATGTAATTGGATTCGTTGGACTAGATAATCGATGTCGAATTGAGCATTGGGCGGTTCCAGAACAGGTCATTCAGCCAGCCAGGCAAGTAAGACGCGTGGTTGATTTGCCTTTGATTTGATGGAGGAGGTAGGATGACAAGTTGATGGGAGGCAATTGGGATTAACAGGTCGATTTTCGGGAGGATGAATCTCGAAAGAGATTGAGATGCAGGGAGAAGAGAAGAGAAGAGAAGAGAAGAGAGGAGAGGAGAAAGAAGTTATGTAGAAGCCTTTGAACCCTGATGGCGAAACTGTATAATGTCAAGGATAAAGTAAGGGACCTTGGTAAAAGTTAAATGATAAAGAAGGGAGAAAGATCTGAGTCTTTGATGTATGTATGTATGTTATTAGTGTAGTGAACCTTACAACCGGTGAACCTATCGGAAAATGATTAAGTCGACCACCCTACTTTCGGGCTACCCCTGTTTTGGGCCACCCTTTTATACTAAAAATTGCTTTTTTAGTCTATCAATATCTTTATCAATATATAATCTAATTTAATAAAAATTTGAATATATATAATTTAAGTCATTTTAGGCTTATTCTGAAATTTTTAGATTTTTAGGATTTTTCTATATTGAAATCTAAAGCTTCAAAAATATCGATTTTTTAATTTGTATAAGAATTATTTATAAATTTAAAACTTTTATAAAATCTTTAATAACTTTTTAACAACAGTTATTAAAAGAAAACTGTATATCTTTTTGAAAGTTTTAAATTTAAATTTATATAGAAATTAAAAAAAAAATTAAAAAAAATGAATAGATATAGAAATATAATATACAATGAGTTTAGAGTAGTATAAATAATCTCTATAATTTTGAGGGTATTCTTTTAAATATTTATTTACAAGAAGTTTTCTATTTTTTTTAATCTTTTAAAGTAAATATACTATAAACTTATAATAAAACTTTTTAGTTTATTTTTAATAATTTTTATTAAAAAGTTATCAAAGATTTTATAAAAGTTTTAAATTTGTATGTGTTTTCTATATAAATTTAAAAATCGATATTTTAAAGCTTTAGATTTCAATATAGAAAAATCCTAAAAATTTCAAAATTTCAAATTAAATTCAAAACGATTTGAATTATATATATATAAATTTTCAATAAATTCTATTCATAAATAAGAAAATTAAAAATTCCATTTTTAATATAAAAAGTGGTTCAAAAGTACCGAGGCCGATTTGATCGATATGGTCAAAACCCCAAAAATAGATTTCTGCCTGAAGCAAAAAAAATTTCTAAAATTTGTATGGTGTGGCCATAGAAAACTTGGAAAAAATATTTGTACCATAAAGAACGCGATCTCATCGCATATCATTATAAAAACTATATATAATATATCTTTAATTTTTCGAATAATATAATAGCTATAATAATATTATTAAATTATAAAAGTTATTTGAATAATAAAGCTTACTTTTTATCGATTATATAAAGCTTATAAAATTATCTTAATATATTTAATCTTATAATAAATAAATATATTTAATATAAACAAATAATTGAATCAATTTACTTTTAATCGAAAATATTTTATTTAATTTAAAGAAAATTAATAATATTAAATTATATAATCAATATAATAAAATAACATTTAATTTTATTAATCTTTAATATATTAAATTCAAAATATTTATATAATTTATTAAAGTCTATATTCTTTGAATTATTAAAAGTTAATAAAAATCAATATATTAATATTTTATTAACTAAAATATTATTTTATATATATAAATTATCTAAAGTTTTTTGAAAAAAGATTTAATATAAGATTTAATATTAATATAATATAAAAATCTTAATAATATAATAATAAGAATTATAATCTAATTTTAATATTTATTTTTATAAAATTATTTATTCTTTAATAATTTTTCAAAATAATTTTAAATAATATTAGTAATTAATTATATAGAATTTTTAAAAAAAAATTAGACTAGATATAATAAATCAAGAAAGTTTTTCAATTATTTTTATAAAATAAAATAAGAAATAAGGAAATATATTTTTCATTAATATAATAATAAGTGTTTAAAAAAGCTTTTATTATTAATTCTTAATATATTTTCTTAATATATTAATTTCTAATATTGTTTCTAAATTTATAATAATTTTTAATTTCTTTTCTATTTTTAATGACTTTATAAAAAATAAAATAAAATAAGCTTTAATTATAAAAAAGAAATTTATTTCTTTATTTACTTTAAAAACCTTAATATTATATTATTTTTAAAGTATTATATTAAATATTAATATATAATTGATTTTAAATATTTATTAATAAATTAGAAATAATATACTAACATTAACATATTAGAATATCTAAATATATATAAATAGCTTTTATATAATATAATAAGAACTTTATCTTTCTTTTATACTATATATATATTAAAGAATATATTTTAATATATATATATAAATTAGAAATATATATTAGTATCTATATAAATTTCGATTTTAATAAAAACTAATTTATTAACTAATTAAATGTTATTTGATTTAAAAATTTAATATTTTCTATAAATAAATTAAAATTGTTTATATATTTATAAATGTTTTTAGAATTTATAATTTAAAGTATATTAAATAATATAATTTTAAAATAAATATAAAATATTAATATAAATATATTTTATAATTTTAAAAAAATAAAGATTATATTACAAAATAAACTTTTTTTTTATTTAAAAATAAATATATAATAATCTTTTATTATATTCTTAAATATAATTTAATTTCATATTATCTTTTAGAATATTAAATTAACATTAATCTTATTTATATTATTCTTTTAATAAAGACTTTTTATAAAACTTAAATAATAAATATATATTTCTAAAATATTTTATAAATATATTATAATTATTAATTTAAAAGCTCTTTTATTTCTTTATTATTAAATAATAGAATAAAATCACATATAATTATTTTATTTTTAAATATAAAATTATTATAGTTAATTTTGAACTTTTAATTAAATCTTTAAATATTAAAGTATTTATTAATAATATAAATATTATATTATTTATTTTATTATTTGTTTTATTATTTATTATATTATTATATATTTATTATATTATTTATTATTTATTTATTATTTATTATATTATTATTATATTATATATTATTATATTATTTATAAATTGTTCTTTATATTAGGTTATAAAATTTAAGATTGAATTATTATAATTATATAAATAAAATTATTAAAATGAATAAGAAAAAGTTAAAGAAAGTTTAATATTTATAAAGAATAATATATTAGTATTTATAAAGTTTAAAAGGAAGAAGAAAGAGTATTGAATTATAAAAGTGATATAGTAATAAGTGATATTGATTTTCATATATTCCTGAATACTAAATACACTTTTTCATTAGATAGAAATCTATTTTTGGGGTTTTGATCATATCGATCAAATCGGCTCGGTAAAAAGGGGGGGGGGCCTGAAAGTAGGGTACCCGATTTATATAAATAGTAAAACATTCAAAAACATGACGATATTTTTTCCCTCTACAATAACAAACGGGTTGATCCAACAATCTATGGAGTGTTAAGATATAAATAAGATAATATATACCGGGATTGGAGGTAGGTAGGCACGTTGGTGGTCTAGAATACTCAACAAATATAAAGCAACAAATAATATCCATAGTGATTGACTATCATTTGACTCTTTTAACCCCTTTGACTCTTGGGATTTCTGTTCCATCGGAATAAGTCTGATTCTTTGTACGATTCGTGTACTTTGTGTGATCCCTCTCTAATATCTCCCTCTGATTCTCTATGTTTTGTGTGTGCCGTTTCATTTGTTTCAATTTCGTGATTCCTATCACCACTATTGCAATGCAACCCATCCAATCGTCTTACCATGACACAACAACGTCAGCAATTCCCTTGTTCGAATTGGGATTGTGGTTCGCGCTTCAGTCATTTGTGTTTAAGCCATTGCCAGCCCCATCAACTATGAGCATGAGCGATCAATATCAGCCATGGAAGAATCAATGAGTCAACAAGTAGGACCAGCGACATCAGCATCACCATCACCATTACCATCACCATCACCATCACCATCACCATCACCATCACCATCACCATCACCATCACCAAAAACATCATAACATAGCGGTGTCCAGTGGCGGTGAATATAGCTAGGGAGAATCAATCCATTCAAGGGACAATCTCTTCCCTTTTGATGCTACTACTGATTTGAACCCTTGGATCTTTGCTTGCCTCGTCCCAAACCTTCTTCGGATCCTTGTTCTCATCAATTTGCCTTGTTCGCCTTCTTTTCCCCTCCATGCATCAGATCCCTTGAACCCCTCATTTACATCAGACGTAAAAAAGTCCGATTTGATGGTATCCCCTGCCACACCTGAATAGTCGAGTGTATGGACTCAACACCTCGGTATTTGATATACCAGGTGTTAAAAGCATAGGATATCACACCCGAGTCTTATTATAAGAGGTAAAATCTCTGTAATTTAGATTTAGATTTAGATTTAGGTGTGGGTTTAGTACATACTCGAGTATATATCGAGATACATATAAGCTTAGGTATCTAGTAAGTGTAAGTCAGACATCTCTTCGTCCATCTTCACTCAACCAAATATATCAGTAAATTGTAATGTCGCACGCGGTGAAACTACCTACCTATCATAACTGTACCGCTTCGTACATATCAAATAGGAATGCTGCCACCAACCTGGTTTATGGATATCTGAATCCACAAATATACCATACAATGAATATGTTATCATCGTCATACACACAGAGTCTTCCAAATCCCAATTCTACTCGACATACCGGCTTTCCATCCTCGTTCCATCTACCATTCACCGAATATGATTCTTCATCCCATGTACACCCAAGTATCCATATGACATCGAGTCCATCATGTTGTGTAACCAAATGGAATATGGCACCATGCATGAACAGCACTAAAAAGGCAAACCTACCGCGGTATATCATATGCAACATACCGTAACCATACCCATGAGTTAATACCCTTGGGACCTATCAAACCACAAGGCCAATCTGCCGGTAAAATCCAGAACGAGCATAATATATTTGGCTAATTGGAATTGTCCATAAATAAACGAATCATTGATTATTCATTTTCTTCTTCTCTCAATTTTTCTTCGCTGCATCTTTTCAATACATTGCTGTCTGTAACCTTTACATGCATAGGTAGGTATATTTATTGATCACAAAATGCCGAGTTCGAAGACACTCTATATAACATCAAATGGACAAAGAAAAAGGTGTACAACATATACGAGTAAATTAATGATACCCAAGCCAAGTATTGCAGTTCAACGTCCACCAGACTTTTCTTTTTTCTTCGTCCACCCTGACCGTATACCGCCTCAAGATTCTGACTCGTCCTTCTTCTGTCAAATATAATTTCTTCTTCCATATAATCAGACCATTCCCACGAAATCTCCTCGTACAAGATCCACAAGATGACAGAGTCAAATACCTTTCTTCTTCCGGAAGATGACCTCCGCAAATACCAGGTAATCACATAAAAGATTCTAGTGCATCCTTCCATCAATTTAAAGTTCGAGACGGCATCAGATCAAAGACGTGAGTACAAGATTTCTTCGTACCAGATACGACGAGCTAAAAGGATTGGCGGGAGTAACCTTATCATTTCCTTTCCCATTTAAAGTGTCCGGTTTCAGATCTTCAAGTTGGAGAGATCGATCTTGGTATTATTTACATCTGGGAACTGGAAGTGGGACATAGCCGAATCTAGATGAGATGAGATGGCAAGCGGATAAATATCCGCATTAGTCACGCAAGGAGAATTGAGCCTTTCTTCTTGTTCGACGACATTACTCATGAGATATGGTGTATTAGTTACACTCTCACGAATCTTGACATCGGGGGATGAATACTAGGTATGTTGATAAGCCAATTCCTCGCCACCAGCGTTCTTCTAGCGAATGAATATACTTATCGTCCCCGGTCACCCTACGTTCTGCCTCCATCATCAACCTTTAGTAAGAAGGCTGAGTAAATCAAAAGCATCTTTGCCACCATCATATTGCACCATGAGCTGCAGTAGTAAATAATGCAGATCACAAATTACATTATATCTCACATCCCGAGGAACTAGGTACAACCTCCCATGTGAAACAAGGCTCGTTCCAATGTATATCCGTCATGACAGTCACATTTCTGTACGATAGCCTTGGAAAATCCCCAACGTTCGGACGAGCTACCACAATTCCCCCTCCTTGATACGAGTAATGATGAATCATCGTATATTACTTTCACAGTTTCACTCGGCCCCCCTAGACTGCCGCTAAATATCGCTTGTCGTGTACCTCGGTGACTAGATATTTTTTCAAGCTCTTTGATGTGAAGGTAGATACGAATTCGAAGATCTAACTTCGCCATTCTGATCCCCTTTACTCCGCATGAGGGTATCTGCCGAGATGACAAATACTTCATACTTACAATGAATCTTTCGAAATATTGATGAGTACCTCGTCAAGAAGCCAGGTTTATCAGCAATATAACACCCATTGACTATATTTTTTCCACATTATTACAATTTTTCCGAGGAAAATTAGGTCGAAGTCTTCAGAAAAGAGACTCCAACTCTACACTCTGAGCTCAGGCAATCTCCATCTTCTCTAAACCATAGCATCTTCAGGGATATATCGAATATTCAGAACCATCGAAGCGGAAGATTGCCATTCGAATTCCATTATTCTTATCATCTCATCTCCTCTCATCTCCATGCAACGCTCTCCCCATCCGATGTCCATTTCCAACCTCCAATCCCAAAACCAAAAAAGCATTCATTTCCAACCATCCCACCTCCCTCGAATATCCCCAGCCCAAGTCACAGCTAGCGCTTTCCTAGTATCCTCCTCCCCCCTCCCTCCAAGAAACCCTCATCTCACCCCATCTCATAATCTCGATCTAGCCCCAATCTCCCAATCCCACCACACGTCCGACAAAACCGTCACGATAATCTCATGTCTTATTCCATCTATTAATGTAGCACGTAACATCGCATCACACAGGTCCCTATGAAACACACATACTTTGCAATAAAAGACAAAACGTGTTAATGAGACAATGTTCCTCTCGATAATGATATGAGTTTGTAATACTGCTTCATACTTAATTAATACTTGATCTTGAGGTGGGAGCCGGGGGATGAAGAGATGAGGTATGATATTGTATCACATCTCTTTGCGTCTCGGGACGTCTGTTTAGACTTAATAGAGTGGAGCGCATTTATGTAGAAAGTATTTTGCGTTTGCTTCTTTTTCTATCTCCATGCTTATCCTAGAATATCCTGCTAAAATATCCTTTTCCTGTAAGTTACAATATAACCCAATCATTTCTTCTTCATTCTCTATTTTCACGTCGCCACTACATCCTCCCCCTCCACCCCTTCCTCGTCCTATCCTAGATCACCACTTTCTAGATCCCACACATTGTCTCATCAAATCCACATCCTCCACTCCATCCTCCTCTCCATCCTCATCTCCATCCTCATCTCTATCCTCATACCATCTCATCCAACCCTAACCACTAATTATCAAACCCCCAAATCTACCAGTAAAAAACTTCCTCTCACTCACACTCATACCCATACCCATACCTCCACCCATAATCTCACCTCTCATCCCCGATCCCCCACCTCCATATCTCAGAATCCCCTTCCCCCCGCTCCATTCCCTATGTCCTATTCCTATTCCCATTCCTATCTCACCTTCCCCCATCAATATATCAATACACCCACCCTCATCCTCCTCTCTAGTATCTACTATTTACCCTGTATCGTATTTACCAAATTCAAAATCCAAATCCAAATCCCCATAACCACAAAAACACCCTCCAAACACCATGTCCCTTTTATCCTCTACCAGCCTTGAATTTGAATAATGAGATTTCCCAACGAAATATCAACAGCCAACGTTTCAGACAGAAGTAGGTAAACGCTTCATATATTATAAAGTAATTTTAGTATAACTACCTCCCCATATCCGAAGTCAAGATTCTTTACTTGATATTTTCATACTTTATACTCACCGATATGGATATCTGTATACTCCAGGAATACCTCAGATGTATACTCAAGTGCAGAGATATACCTATAATGAGACGACTTATAATATCTACGACAAACCCTCGACCTAAAATATCATACCAAGAGCGCAATATTATATCTCCATGACATGAACCTCGAGATTCCGTCATCCTATTGATTCGCAACATTCTCACCCCCTCCTCGAAATGTTCACATAGTGAAGATAGTCCTTCGTCCCATCTCGTGCATGGAATATCTCATCATTATATGTCATCATAGTCTATACCCTATAGCCGCCCAAATATACATCTTCTCTTTCCGAGAATCCCCAACTTTATACTATATCTCAGGATCCCCCTCAACCGCCTCTACCGTCCAATCGGCAGCAATGCTCCCGCCACACTTCCAACCCCTCGTTCCGTCGCTAGCAAATTAAATTGTGCAGCTGCGTTCCTTGTATCTGCGATTTCTATTTGAATTCCCAATCCATTGATGTATGCGCGAGTTTTGGGGGATATGGGTCGCATATCTTTGCCCAGGCCGAGGATTAAAAGATCTATTGAGGAAAGGGTGTGTTAGTTCAGAGAAGTTGGTTTTTATGGTGGACTAGTTGAGGCGAAGGAGAGAATAGGAGACATGAGGCAAGAAGAAGTAAAAAGAAGAAACATACCAGGTCTAGGCCACACACACCCCAGCACCCCCCACGCCTCATCCCCACACTCAAACTGTCCCTTCTTATTAACCAAATCCGACTCCTCCCCCTCATCCGCCCCCCCAACCCAAGGTTTCCACCCAAACGCCTCACCCCCCACCAACAAAACTCCCGCTCCTCCCCTCCACTTCCCACCCTTGAAAACCCCATCACCACCCACCTTCACACCACTATTCAAATGAAACCCATCGCTCAAACACGCATCGATACTCGTACTGGGCATTGGCGTATTCCCCAATACATCCAGCACCGAAAAATCCGTCTGTGTTGTTTCTGAAGAAGGTGGACCGCGGTCATGGCTTGCGGGAGGGTGCGAATGAGAACGGGAAGAGGAAGATGTTCGCACGGAGGTGGATTTTATGGGAGGGGAGGGTTTGCTAGGGGCGGAGTCGGAGTATTGACGAGATTGGCAGATGGAGTAGGGTGTGTAGTATGAGACTTTCGCTGCATTTGAATATTTAACTCTTGGAGTTAAACTCTGCCAAGAACTCCATCTTGTAATTATGCAGCTTGGAATATTCGACCGCGGGGCGACAATTGCATTTGTGATTTCTGGAATGGAGGGGCTGATTTTGCGGAGGCGAGACATGATATTTTTGTTTCCGCGAAATGATTGATTTGTTTGCTTGAAGATTTTTCGTTATATGCGTATTGAACTCAGTTATCAAATTATTAGGGTTCGTGGTGTGTTAGTTTTATTTGAGTGAGAATGCAATGAGATTGCGTAGAACATTGTGATGAGTGAAGAGATCAGATAGGACTGTGAGCTTTGATAAGATTGGCGAATCAGAGAGCTCGGAAGTCATCATTATAAGCTCTTTCTTACCGATATTCACCCGTTCCACACATCTATCAAACATTTTCTGAATACTACCTCATAATAATAAGTTCTATAACACTTGTGTCAAGTCCAGTTATTTCACCATCATTAACTTCCATAAAAACCATTAGCTGCAAGGACTCCTTTCACGGCTGCTTCGATGGAAGATAGGTATTCACGAGACGACGACATTTCTAGCATGCGAAAGACGAATTGACATGCGAAATGTAAAACCCAATATTCTCAATCTATCATAAATTCCTCATCTACCAAGTACCATCTACCTCTAACCATTTTATCTTCCTTCTTCCCATCTTAAATCTAGAATAAATCCGTCATAGCTCCATGGCTCGCATCTCCCACAAGTCTAGCATATTTTGCCAATACACCTCTGTTAACCGCACTCTTGGGAGGTTTCCAAGACTTAAGTCTCTCTGCAATTTCTTCGTCTGATACATCCATACTTATAGTATTAGATTCGGCTGATATGGTTACTATATCGCCATTTCTTACAACGGCGATAGGACCACCGACTGCTGCTTCGGGAACGACGCTAAATTGTGTTAGTGAGAGAGACTACTAGAGGAGGGCTGGTTTTGAATGGAGGTGCTATGTTGAGGAGACATTATATGAGGAATAGTAATACGTACTGTCCTACGATGAATCCGTGACTAGCACCGGAATATCTTCCATCAGTAACAAGAGCGACATTCGTGAGACCAGCACCCATGATTGCTGCACTAGCTTTCAATTGCTCGGGCATTCCACTATATAAAAGTTAGTTTCTAGAACAAGGAAAGGCATAAAAATATCTAAAGACACTCCGAATGCTGCGACAGAAACTTACGGTCCTCCTTTAGGTCCTTCATATCTTACAATCAAGACGAGATTCTCTCCATGCGGAATCTCACCCTTATTCAAAGCATGGTCAAGTTCATGTTCTTTATCAAAAACCATCGCCTTGCCAGTAAATACTAGACCTTCCTTGCCTGTGATCTTTGCCACTGCTCCACCAGGTGAAAGATTTCCTCGAAGAATCTGTAAATGACCAGTCTGTTTGATTGGATTGCTCAAAGGTCTAATGAGAGTCTGTTCTTGTGGTAGTGATGGCCAACTTTCAACATTTTCCCTCAAAGTCTTTCCTGTAACAGTCGGGATATCACCGTTCATCAAGCCCGCAGCAACGAGAAGCTTAATGACAGCTGGTGTTCCACCAATTTCGTAGAGATCCTCCATACAGAATCTTCCGGAGGGTTGCAGATCTGCCAAAAATGGGATCTTGTCGCTTACTCTTTGAATATCATCGATAGAGAGTGGTACCTCGGCTGTACCAGCCATAGCAAGGAAATGGAGCGCAGCATTCGTACTTCCACCAAGTGCCATTGTAATTACCAAAGCATTCTCAAAGGATTCCTTGGTCAGTAAGTCTCGTGGTCGAATATTCTTTTCCATGCAAATCTTGATTGCTTCTGCAGCTTTCACACATTCTCTCATTTTAGCTGGGGATTCGGCTGGATTTGATGAAGATCCTGGGAGACAAAGTCCCATGGATTCGATGGCGGTAGACATCGTGTTGGCTGTATACATCCCACCACAGGCACCAGCACCAGGGCAAGCGTGTTGTTCATAATCTTCCTGAACATTCATTATTGACAGATCAAACCCTACACGTTCATTACGATCTTACCATAACATCACTTGGAGTTGCACCCTCAACAGCGGCGTGAAGTTTGTTGTAGGTAAATGCACCACTAAACACAACTACTGTGTTAGATTTGGACAGAAAATATAAATATCAATGGATATTTCCTTACCTTGCTTCATAACAACTACTGATATTGATTTCCTTTTTCATCAACTTGGAATAACCCTTCTTAATTGTGCCTAGAAAGAGTCAGACTTCTAAAATATATATTGTGACAAAAAAACTGACCTCCATAGATCATGAGAAATGGTCTATTGTGACGTGCAGCAGCCATAATGACCTGTTCCAACGTTAAAAAAGGAATTCATATATGAGGGAGCGAATTCTGATAGTGTATCTCCACCAAAGCATAGAGACCATACTTACACCAGGCATATTCTTATCACAACCAGGAATTGAGATATTTGCATCATGATTTTGGGCACATGTGACAGTCTCGATTGAGTCTGCAATGATCTCACGTGTCTGTAAAGAAAATCTCATGCCTGCTAGTGTTAATGAAAATCCCTCAAGATAAGAACGTTCTACAAACCTTCTCCGCCCATGGTGATAGCATCACTGACTCCCACCGTGTTAAATTGCCATCCGAGCATACCTTGCTTCTGTACTGAATCTTTGACCAGCTTTCCGAGGTCATGTACTACAAGTAGTTTTTAGATCGTATGTCTTGAAAAGATCTCCTTATCTTGTGTTACTTACGATGCATACTATGATACTATGTTAGCTAAATCCATTATCGTCTTCGTGGTAGGTTGCATATCCAAAGTTAGAGAACATACTTGCATGGATTTCCTTCCCACCATACAGTGGATATTCCAACATGAGGTGCAGTCTTCATCATTTCTCGATTTGGAACTCCGGCAGCGTAGAGCATTGCCTAGAAACAGATTCAGTGTATGTAATTAATGATCATGCCTCGTGGATTCTTACCTGGGCTCCTGGAAAGTCATGACCAGTTGTAATTGTACGAGACCATCGATTCAAGGCCAATTTTCCATCTATAACAGTACCATGTTCTAGAGATGGAAAGTCAATGTATCTTGGCTTGTCTGGTATGTTTTCATAGTTTGAAGGTTCCATGATGAACTAAAAGATACCTGTGATATCTTTTCGAGACGATGTTGATGAATGAAAATAAAACAAGTATCGGTACAATTGTCTGTCAACAAGTGGGTATCTAGAGAGGAAAGAAAGAACAATCAATGAAGCAAGAAAGATTCTAGGGAATGAAGTATTAGAGACATTTAGCCCCGAATAATACTTGACTAAATAGGAAATTCATAGTAGCGATCTAATGCATTCTCGGAGGTCTTCTTCAATAGGGAACTATGAATACTAGAAACCTAGTACGAATCAACGAAAACTATATTTCATAATAGAGTTTTAGTTTTTATTAAAACCAGTTGACTCGAGCTAGCCTTGAAAGTCCTAAGGCTTTTATTTGTTGATTGAACTCGCTTAACCTTGAAGTTGCAGGAGGCTCCCGGAAGCTCCAGAAAATATCTATGGATTATAAGTGGATTATAAATGGATTCAAAATTCAAACTAGGGTATGGTATTCAGCTCGTTGATTTAGCTATATTTAGCTACTGTAGGCTGGATTGAACGCAAATGAAGAGCTCTAATTAGCTAGAAGGAGATCGTTTTATCTTAGAATTCTATTATTTATACATAATAAAGATCAAAAGCTTGAGTCCACTAAATTTTATATTCATATTTGTATATATTTTTACTAAATTCATAAAATATTCATATTATATGAACTATTTAAAAAGTATGAAACATGGCTAAATGTCTCTATTTTAAATCAAAGAAAACTGTCAGAGGGTACTGCGGAGTATCCTTTTCGAATTGTGGGACAGAGAGAAAGGTCTGATCTTTTGGTTCATCAGGTTTGACAACTTTCTAATTGCCGCAGTGACAACAGGACGTTATGCAGTAATACTTTATACTTTGGCATTCCTGCCGTGGCGCAGGGGACAAATTGATGGTTGAGCCAGTGTACATCATCGATTGATAATCAAATCCATGAGAGCTCATCATACCAACTGGCCAAACCTGTACCCCGCGGTGGATTCACCATACTAAAATATTTATGGATAGATCGTATCCGGGATCAGGCATTTCAAGAACAAGGTGCGGCCGGATAACTAGGGACTGGAAGTGAGAAGTGGGATGAGGTGACTGAGAGTCGGCAGTTCATTGAATATTGATAATAGAGATCCTCTGGCCTGTATGATATTATGATAAACAACCACACGGGAGTAGATCAACATGAATGATCAAATGGTAATGCTAAGAAGGAAAGGGGTCGTGTGAGTTTGTACTTGATAGAAGGAGAGAACTACCTATGATTTGTGAGGGGTTCAACAATAATTTCTTGTGACCCCCCACCAAACATACAATTAAGATTCTAAATTAGACCGAGTTTCCGAATTGAGTTTCCGATGTTTTAGCGAACGGGTGCGTACCGTTAATTGTTGATTCGATGTCATTCTGATTGGTGGGATCGTATGGTGGAGTTGTCGTTGAATTGGTGAATGGCAGGTTGAGCGGACGGTAGATGAGTTGAAAGTCCCAACGTGCTAAGCATCTTGGGTACCTTAGCCGATATGTGAACCGACAAAACAGAGAGCAGTAAGCTCATAATGGCTTTGACTAGTAATAAGATTCAGCCTCACAAGCAAGTCATCGTTATCTTCATTTTCATTTCGATGCTAGGCTTATCTGACGCAATATTCGAGGCGGAAGCGAGATTACTTGCATCAAAATAAATGAAGATCGCTTCGAAGACGTCTAAATCTACAATGTATCAAGTCCATCTCCAAGTTCTCGGCCGAATGCCACAAATGAGGATTTCTGGCTAGGGGTTCATATTTAGACCAAACCTTGAGAAACTATAACCTTGACATGGAAAGCCTTGCGGAATTCCAGGTAATAAGTTTGAGTGTATCGGTACAATGAAGGTGGGTGGGTGGTGGAAGAGACGAAAAAGACACGGCTTCGATGTGAGGCTCAACACGACGCCAACAATTCCATACTGTTGTGGACTTCCGATGGTTAT